TCAACGTCAAAGTTGAACGATAATTTTTCCCGTCGATAAGATTCCCTGCTTTAATTTCTATATAAGCAGGTTGTATACTAGTAGTTTGTCTATAGTAGTATCGAGCAATTGGTTATTGTTTAGGACTATAATTTACAATTAACAGGACTATTCGAGTTGTAAGCAATTATTAAGATTGTAGGATAAGATTGATTTTCATAATGCAAATTTATAAAAAGTATATTACGTACTGCTTGGCAGTTGTTAGTATTATGTATAAGATTTCCACTCATTTATCCAAGTTTTATTTTATTTTATGCTCCATGTGAATTCGTATATACTGTTTCTTCTCATCTATCCTGCGCTATTACTTTCGGACATATAACCAAGTTTTGTTAAGTGGAACATTCTTGTTAGTAAATTCACATATTTTAATCGATCAACGATTTAATTATTTTTAATACTTTATTTAGCATTTGATGGCTGAGGTAATATTTTTCGCAATAAAAATTCTTGCACCCTAATGAGTGGGGAGGGGGAGATGCTATAATTGGCCTTCTTATTTCCTATTAATTTAGATGTAATTAATGAATAATATACGTTTAGTGGTAGTCTGTTTTGATATTCTCAGTCAAAAATCAATTCTAACTTGATTAAAAAATTAATTAAAGAATTTATTCGTTTATACGTTTGAGGGAATATTGATGTGCATCAAGTAGAAGCTTTTATTTTAGCGCATGTGCATTGCGTCGTTAAATGAATAATTCATTGATGCTATATCATTTCGTTGAAATCATAGCAAAATACAATGTTGTATTCGTCAGGATTGTCAATTTGTTAGCCTGGTTCCAAATCTTTTTCGCCCGAAGTATCCATTAACCTGGAAACTGAAGGTCCGAAACAAAAACCACCTCGGGCGAGTCAACTCGGTTTCCAGCTTTGTTGTCAGACGCAATATTACTACAGTAGTTTCTAGTAAACTAAACAGGATCTCTGCGACACACTCACGCGCAGCCCCGCGTACAATGTTTCACGGTAAGAGAGAGAGAGAGAGAGAGAGAGGGAATGAGAAAAAAAGGAAAAGGACAGCATCTTTCGCAAGATCGTTGCTTGCGACACGCGTCGACTGCGTCGGACGTAAACTGGATTCCAGCGCTTCTCGAAGAAATAAATTTCACGCACGTCTTGCGCACGTGTCTCACATGGAAGATTACACACAGTGATACCTTTTTCCATTTTTCATAAATATTAATATCTTCAATATGAAATAAGAAAGCCAATAAGGTCCGAGGAGAATGTAGATAGCCCAATGGTTTATTGTGTGAATTTTTATATGTATCGTTTTCAACACGTCCTACGCGCCGAGCACTGTCGATTTTAAACACAATTTCTTTGGTGGAACTGTAAAATTCACATACTTTTGATCGATAAATGATTTAAGTGTTTGATGCTAATAAGCATTCTATCCCCCCCCCCCCGTCACTGTAAAGAATTTTATTGCGATAAATATTGATCTCAAGCAGGATAAATCGCAGCCATGTATTATTGCGACAAAGGTTTTCAATTTGTGTGTAAATAATTACATTTATGCACTATAAACTTAATTTTATCATTATCCAAATACGGCCGTGAAATAAATGTCATATTTTGTAATAATTCATAAATATCCTTTAATGGCAATTGATATCATGCAATAAATTATTTTGAATGTTATCTTTATTTTTAAAAATATGTATATAATATATGTTGTAATAAATACGTATACTGACATATGCAGATTGTATATATACATATATATATATATGTATATAAAGAGCACTGATGTAAATTTCAAATGAAGTTTAACACATATGCATAGAAATCCATGTGTCGGCAAATTCCCAAAAGTACTGTTACATATAGTAGAGAAACTAGGAAATACTCGAGCCGTTTATTTAGAAAGTATCGTATGTACCATTATTCACCTGCAACCAGTCTGGGAATTCTCTTGAAGTGATTGAAATGTTGCTGTGCGTGTGTGAATCCAAGAAACTTGTAATTTAACTCGAAATTGCAGCTGTGTGTCTTCGATGATCCGTTAGTTAATAATTTTCAATTTGCTTATACATTTATTATTAAAAGAATGCAATGTATTATTTACACAATATATCTTTTTTGCTCTTTTAGAAGTATATTAAACCAATTTGTAATTTCCTCGCATTCACTCGAAGCGTCGATTCAGAAATTCTCTTACCAATAAATTTCTTTTTTCCTCTTCCATATCCATTCAATTTATTTATTTCTGTATGAAATTCCGTGATAAAGCCCTCGTAAGGGCTCAATTCCGTCTGTGAGAATGAAAAGAAAAGGAAATCTTTGTAACTACAAAACAGCATTCAAGCAAGTAGGTGTGAATAAACTCTGAACTTTAGTGTATAACTGAAGGAAACGGATTTGTAAATTAGTTGTTGACGGCCAAAGGGTCGGAGGTTAGAAAGAGAAAGCCAGAATACACAGCCTTGGAATACACACAGAACACATAATACGGACTTTGGCTGTGAGAGTGAAGCGTGACTCTTAGACGCCCCCGAATTGATGGACGAAATTAGAAAGACGTCAAGGATGAAAATCGGAGTGTGCCATATAACCAACAGAAGTCTTGAAAGCTTATCAATACTCAAAATAATGTCAAGAAGAAGCGTACTGTTTTCCACCCAAGTGTTTATGGCGCTACGTCATTTTTCGGAACCGGGGCTCGGCGTTCTACGCACGAAATTCCAAGATAAACCTCAATAATCGACGAAATTTCCAACAAGTTTGTATATAACTTTCGTATAGGTTTCAATTCATTACTCAAAGTATTGCTTTTAAAGAAGAGTGATTATTCACACTCTCGCTGGAGTAACAATTTGTCAATTGCCATATAAACATCAATATATATTTTTGAAATCTCGCAACATATGTATTTCTTTTTCCTCATTCATTTATTTCATTGAAACTTTATAACGATAAATTTAATTCATTTTTGCTATAATTTTCAAGACGTTTGTGGAAGTTGCATGAAACGTATGCAAAATGCAAAATTAAATCGACAAAAGCTTTTAACACATGAAAATTCTGGCAGAAAAGTAATTGAAATGGACAAGGAGCAAAGAGATTAATTTTTTATAAATGCGTATTTTAAAAACCTACTACCTTCACATTCTGGTAGAGTTTAATCTCTTTATTGTCTATTCGTGTTCTTTCTTTTTTTTGTGATTTTTGGCGTTGTTTGTGGTATACACGATATATTCTCTTTTAACGTCATCTCTTTCGCTCATATACACAGACAGACAGAGAAAGAGGAAAAGAGTGAGAGAGGGAGGGAGAGGAAGGAAAACAAAATCGGGCATTTTATTCCACAGCATTATCCTGTATCGCCCATTTATTTTTAAGAGAGAGAGGGTAGAAAGCCTCTATTTATACATAAAGATGTGAAAAAAATACCTTGATTTACGACCATGAATACGAAACATTTTTTATCGCTATGGAGTATGGGTTATAAAAGACTGCTGCGATTGCTCTCTGGAATTATGGCTACATTAGAGGATTATGGGAAAATACTTGCATCTTACAATTTTGAGTAGATGGAAAATCGTTATTTTTTATACATTATATGTACATAGATAAAATATATTTATTAAAAATCAATAGTTTTGTTTTGTTGACGAGATTGTAACGAAATTATTATATCTATACATTAGACATTCATGATAAAGTTTTTCTCATTAACAACGTAATTATGTAAAGTTCATTTATTAATAAATTAATAAAAATGGTTTTCATTTCTTGAGAAGAAAATAAAATAAAATGTACATTTCACTATATAATATATTATATAATAGTAATTGCAACGACATATCTTAATTCTTAAAGAATGTGTATAACATAAATGTGAAAAAGTGGTAACTTATTATCGTTGTATGTATTGTCCGGGAAATTTCTTTATATTGGAAAACTACATTTTCTTTTCGAGGAGCACTCTCTTTGAAGTCTTCGTATCGTATATACGATCTCAAAGACGGTGGCACGCCCGAGGCCACACTCTCGCTCGCCAGAGGGGGATGAAGTTTCCGCCTTGTGCACGTGCAAGCAGCCGGAAATCCGGGGTTTTACACCGTAGAGTCAAGAATGCATAATAACACTGGGTGGTCAACTTTTTTCATTAAATCAAGCTGAAGCATTCTGAAATCGTGTTTCTGACACTTTTGCTGTAGTAACGCTCTCTCAGTAGTTGCGTCGTGTGCACATGAATTGCGAAACCGGAACAAATTGTCCTCAACTGTGCACAACTTGAGTGTACTAACAAGGAAACGCATAACAGTGTTGTCGGTCCACTTTAATAAATTGTTTATATGTGCTGAATAATTTGATGATAAATATCTTCTTCATTTGCAATTAATTTAGGTATTAGTTAATTGCAAATGAAATTTTCCATCACGCACAACATCTCTTTTGGCACATCTGATTTTCATACATGTATTAGAAACTCTTTTTGTTTTTATGAAAAATGTATGGCATTTAGATTCTTTGATATCGTTATATTTTCACGCTTTTCAATACATTCATTCTCGATTGTTATTCTTGCGAATTTTACGAATTGAAAAAATTAACAAACATTTCTTTATGTAAATATATAACATTATTGTATTGTGATATTTTCCACTTACGAAACGTTGCGCCATATATGACATATTGGTACATGTATTTCGACAAGTATAGATTTAGCACGCATCAAGTGAGAATTAGATGCTGATATTGAATACAAAGCATTGTATTCTCTTTTCATATATCTTTTTAAATATGTTTCATCATCTTTCCTCACATTCCTAATTATTGTATATATACGACTATGACGAAATAAATATTCGTATGTTATTAAAATTCCAATTTCAGATGCTATACATATAAGAGTAACTTTGTCGGCTTTATATATTTTGAAATACTCGTTTACACTTTGCTATCTCTGATCGTTCAACATGCATATATTTTTTTTGTTTCAGGAACATATTTTATTCTATACGACTTCATTGACTTCTTCGAAAAAGATCAAGCCAGTTTTCTGGAGCGAGATAAGTTTCTCAGCATCATCAATAGTATCTTCAAGAATATGTCGCAAATCGAGCGTGAAGCTATCGTTTTTCAAGTAAGTCTCGTTACATACAGTTTCATGCATTACGTCACGTGCTAGTCCTAAACTTGTATAAAATATCACTTCAATTATTCAATATAATACAAACAAGTAAAAAATAATATTTATTTATAAACTTTACGTAAGATATTGTTTTGTATACGCAAAATATTTTCTCTATATCATATTTAACGACAGATTCTTTTCATCTATTTTTAGAGTTGTGCATTTTTTTCCCAGAAATGTCGAAAACAAATTTAATCGCACTTTTGCTTAACGAATCCCTCCGATTTCTATAGTTTTTCTCATAATTTAACAATCATTTCTACGCTAAATTAATTACATACAGTTTCATGCATTACGTCACGTGCTAGTCCTAAATTTGTATAAAATATCACTTCAAGTTTTTGAGTGAAATTTGTGCAAAGGTCAATTACAAGAATATAAAAAAGTTGGAAATATGCATTAAATAAGGTCAAGATGTGAATTAATATTATAGTTTTGTTGGCAATAAAAATGAATATTAATGAAAATTATAATAGATTAGAGATATTTAACGATATTGCGTATGCATTCTTTTCTGCTTTAGTTGTAAAAAAACTAATATACATATAAATTACAAAAAGAAATTAAGTAAAATACCAAGTAAAAAGAGATATTAGTATATTTAATTTCTAACAGATTGATTTATACGAACAAATAGAGCGCACTTTAAAGCCCATTTCAGCGTTAAGCGCGATAAAATTCTGCAAAGTAAGGTCTTTAACGGAATTGAGATAGCACTCGAATTATGTTTCTCATACAGAAATATTATGCGTCGTCCAGAGGTGCACAGCAGCACTCTGCGACCTATATTTTTTGCAAACTAACCACTCAGCGAGACCTCGGCTGTATTCATTGGCCTCGAGCGTTCTTCTTATTAGCAAACTTCAACTTGTAACTGTCGCTAAGTCGTTTCAGGCTTCTTTCTTGCAGCATGGAAAAACAAGTGAACCATATGTCAGATGTCAATTTTGAGCTTTTCACGATTTGCCTAGGTAGATAGGGAGAATTATTTATAGCCATATATATGCGTGTGTGTTTTATTAGGTAAAGATAACACAAGTATAAACACACGTCCTCTCTACTTTTGTATTTCAAGTAAATTTTATAAAAATAAAACTCTAAGAAATTTAATTGCTCAAGAAAGAAAATTTATAATCCTCAAGTGTTTTAATTTGTTATACCTATAGTACATTTTTAAGTAACCGAAAATTTCGCTACCTCTTCTCTAGTATGTCCACATATGTGCTACATTGCGAGATTCTAAGTATTGTAATGTCACAGTGACACTGCTAGGTATGTATGTACATATAACGTGTGAATCTCTTGACGATTTACAGTATTTTACCTGTAAATAACGGCTGCATGTGCTGCACATTGCACAATGGACGACACAATAATTTCAGTTTTCGATCGTAATCTACCTATAGCGCCTGTGTATCTTGTTAAAAATATACATCAGCGTTCGTTCCTCTAAAAAAGATCGGCCATGATTATATTATTAAACGTACATTTCTCACTGACGCGTATCGCGTCGGATACGGACGGGCGTAAAGTGAAAACCCGTTAATTGGAACGCCTACTCGCTGCTCCTCTATTCCTTTTTCTACGGCCTTTTCCACGTTTCCATCTTTTTTCTGCGCGCGTTGATTTCCCGCGAATCAGAGACAGTGCTCTGTGTAATTGTGATTATAACGAACCGTGATTTTTTTTCTAAACAGAAAGAATTTCAGCTATTGACTAGAAAAATTCAAATTTTCAACCGACTGCCAAGATATGGGACATGTCTTCTTTTTCAGTGAACATGGTCGAAAGAACCGTTACGTTTTATTAAAAACTTGAATCTATTACTAAATATATATTTCCTTTCTTTTACTTCTCCATCGTAATCTCTCACCTTATAAGTTTCAACTTTAATAGTGTAATAAAATTTATTCAATTTTATAATAATGTACCTACCCATTATTTTTATAGAGAGCCAACATTCCTACGCAAATACACTTATATCTTACTCTTTATCAGAAATATTTGTCTTGTGAAAATTTATCGTGATACAATTGTGCTTCTTGAGACTTATGGAATACCTATGTGCAGTTTCCAGCAGGCCAGTCTTTCTTTTAGAAATGTATATATTGCATAATGCGTGTACATATACAGGGTGTATCATGAGTGAACCATTTCTAAACCACTTGCCGATTTTTATAAGTTTCGATTTATCATGTCGGTTTACCTCATTATTCAATTCCCTTGTTGACGAAAAACTTTCTTAACCATAAGAGTGCGATAAATCACAACTTTTTAATCGTTTATCTAAAACTGCTGAAATTTGATACAAATTAGTAACAATTGAAGGGTGTACTATTATCGTCGGTGGCACCAAATAAAAGCTTTCTAGCAGTAATCACTGTACATACCTGTACATACATACACATATGCTTTGTGGATTTCATCGAGTAAGACTCGCAGGTATAGCATCACCGCTGTAAATGAATTATTGGTAATTGTTCATTTATGTATTATTAACGCGTTTGTCGAAAGCCATCGTATAGAAATTAAATTCGCGTGAAACAAAAGTTATTTTGCAAGTAAAAGATATTCCCTTCAAGTGTTATTCCGATATGTATAGATGTAGGTACTAAGACGAAAAATAATGCAGTTTTCGTATTGGTAATTTTTACACATAAAAATGGAAAAGTATATTGATGAATCATAAGAGATAATTAGACATTAATTTTCTTTTTAATAAGAATGAGACAAAGTAGACCTCTGCAAAATTAGCGCAAAATTCCATAAAGGGGACACTTCCAATAGGTTTTCTAGTGCGTAACGGGCCAGCTATGGTTACGGGGAAAATCGATATCGTTATGTACCGAGGTAATGTCACTCTTCAAAGAGCTTCATTCCGCTGGCTGACCGCTAATTACTTTCCGATCAGCAGAACGGCACGTCAAAGTTGCTTTGTCAAGGGCTGTTTCATGGCTGCGTGAAACCTCGAGTTCCGTGTACATTTCATTAAGTATCCGGGAAACAAGGCACGCCAGAGCGAGGATGCCTTTCGTTCACGATGATACAGTGCGCGTAAAGGTCGCCCGTGTCTTTGATAAATTCATGCCGCCTGCTGATCCCACCCACGCGCGACTGATCGAACGAAATGAATTCGTAAAAGCGCGCACTTTACTGCCGTTTCGATTGGAAGAAAATTGACGATACAAAGTGATCCGACCAAATCGATGTCCTAGTAATTTCTTTTAATTTCCGCGGGCTATAAACGTTACATTAATAAACGATGATAACTCGCGCATCACAGAGGCAAATCATTTATTCGTAATATTTTATCGCTACACACGTATATTCGCTACGCGTGTACTTAAAAAAGTTCTTTTAAAAGCTTTTGGAACAACTCATTTGACAAAATTTGGATCAAGTATTTTTTCTCTAATTCTAAGTGCCCAAGTTATATAATAGCTATGTTGATAATCTTTAATGGAAATTTCGACGGATTTCTGTTTCAGTATACCGATTGGGATCGGGTAAACGATGGCTATCAGAATCAAAGAGCGATAGCGGACATCGTCGGCGATTATTTCTTCATCTGCCCGTCCACACATTTCGCGCAATTATTCGCAGATCGCGGCATGAAGGTCTACTACTACTTTTTCACACAGGTAACGATATTTCTGTCGTTATGTTGCTTTATACCTAGAACATACTCGTACAGTAGTTAACAGTCAATTGCAACTATATTGTTATATTATGTATTAATTTTCAGTATTTAATTAATAATAATTAGTTAC